CGGCCGCCGCCTGGGTGGGTGCTGGGGATGCTGTTCTCGCTGTTCCCTTAGCAATCGGGCGCGGGGGGCTCCCCGTTCCAGCCATCGCAGCCGAAATAACCAGACTCCCTGGAGCCACCGCAAAGGCTCGCCGGCCCCTGCAAACCCTCCCCGGCCGCTCGCTGTGGGTGGGTCGTTTGGCCGAGACCTTGAAACCCGAATGCCGCCTGCCCTGTCTGGGTGTTTGTGATCCGCTGGCACTTCCCTCCGAGAGCGGCGTTGCCCCGCTGTCCTTGGCCACGATGTCCCTCGCTCCGCTCGTGCCGGCTGCCAGCTGGCTCCCACCCGGGCTCGTCGGGGCGAGCGGGTGGCAGCACGGAGGGGAGCGATGTGCTGGGGGCGCGGGGAGACGCGAGCAGTTTGCAAGAGGGTTCGTACCCTCTTCTTCCTTGGGAATCCTCTGCTTTCGTTCCTTGGCTGCCTGCCCTGCCGCTCTTCAGGTGAGGATTTTTGTTAGGAAAGGCGAGCAAAAATCTTGCTTTGAATACCCACGAGGCAGCGTCGTAAGAAAGCCGATGCGTCGCCCGTAGGCTGGACTAAAGCTGGGCCCCGATGGATGCTGAAGCGTGTCACATCCCGCCCTCCCTCCCGACCTAGATGGGAGCTGCATCCCTCTTCCCCAGCGCTGGCTGCATCCTTCTGCCCCCTGGGAGGGATGCACCGGCACGACAGCATCTCTGCTGCTGGGGGGAGAGCTCTGCACTCCCCTAATGACTCCTGGGTGCCTAGGCTGGGCTCAGGTCATGCCCCCCCTGCTCGGGAGCTCTTGCCCAGGGGCCATGCAGCGTTTCCCCCCATCGCAGGTGGCTGAAATAAAAAAGAAAAGGGAAGTGGCTTGCCCAAGGTAACTTAATGAGTCAGTGGCGAGCCAGGAATAGCACCCGTGAGCCCTGACTCATGGCTGCTCACCTGCAGGGACCTGGGCAGGGGAGGGCAGCCGGGGGGCTGCTGCGGGGATGCCGGGAGCATCCCCATCCCCATCCCTATCCCAGCATCCCAGGTGTGAGCCAGCGATGGGAGGCATGGCCCCCGGCCAGCCCCGTTCATCCCGCCGCTGCTTCCCGGCATCTCTCTCCCTCTGTGCCTCGTTGAGCTTATTTAGCAGCATCTCAGGGGGTTCGTGTTACTCGGTGGAATTTTCTATTTTCAGCCTCTTCTGCGGGTACCTCTAGGAGTGATGGTTGGCTGATGGGGCCCCGGCGCGCATCCCTCAAGGAAAAGGGCAGGCGGGGACTGGGAGGCTGGGGCTGGCACCGTGACTTGCCCCCAGCTCAAACCCAACATTCGAAGGCAGCCCCGGCTGCAAAACCATTTGGTTTTCCCTTTTTTTTTTTCTCCCTGGAGAAAGCAGGGAGGGCTTAAAGTGAGACAAGTGGCACTGGCCAGCAAGCTGTGAACGGCCCCACTGCCTTGCTGGGAACAAGTGGTGCCATGGCAAAGGGAAGGACCCCACTTCAAACCAGCTCCGGAGCAGCAGCTTTATGGCTTTGACCCAACAAGACCCTCCAAGACCTTCTCGCCGGGCGGCTGGGTTCCCATGGCACAGCTTGGCCGCAAGCCCTGGTGCCGGGTGTCTCCTGACGGCATGACATGCCCCGAGCTCGCAGGGGCTGTAACATTCAACACCAAATACTTCTGTCCACCCACGTGCCCGGGGCCAAGCCAACGGAGGCAAATATTTCCCTGGCTGGGGACTTTGAAGTGGCCACATGAAGATGAAAGGGTTTGAGCTCTGTTGCTGGTGCGAGCGCGTGAGCAACGCTTCCTTCCCTCCTTGAACTTTATTTTCCAGCTAGAAAACATGATACTCCTCCCGGTTTTAAGGAAACGGGGAAAAAGATGAGGCTTGTGGGGCAGGGCTGTGAGCTGCTGCAGTCCAGCCCTGGCAGCCACCCCGGGCTTTTGTTTTGTGTAGGGCTGACATAAACACAAACTGCTGCTGCCCGGCTGTGGCATTGTAAACACGATCTATAGAAAATCAGGAGAACACGGTGTCCCGAAACAGAATTAGTTCAAGACAGGTGGACTCGGGGCCGTTGGCTGGGTCTCAAAGGCGAGTTGGAGATGGGATTTGATGGGATGGGGACGGAGCATATGGTATCCATAGCTGGAAAAGTACTGAGCTGCCGGCAG